AAAGCTCGGCCTTAGCTTAGGCTTCTTTCTTTCTCTCTCTCTCTCTCTCTCTCTCTCTCTCTCTCTCTCTCTCTTTCTTTCTTTCTTTTTTCCAGACAGGGTTTCTCTGTGTAGCTTTGCACCTTTCCTGGAGCTCACTTGGTAGCTCAGCCTGGCCGCAAACTCACAGAGATCCACCTGGCTCTGCCTCCCCAGTGCTGGGATTAAAGGCGTGCGCCACCACTGCCCGGCGGCTTAGGCTTATTTCTAACTAGCTCTTATAACTTAAATTTACCTATATCTTTGAATCTATGTTCTCTTACGTGGCTCAGTTAACTTAACTCTGTACTGCCCATCCTGCTTCCTCTCCATCTTGCTGGCAACCCTGCCTTTCTTCTTCCCAGCATCCTCCGTGCCTGGAAACCTTACCTAGCTATTGGCCATTCAGCTTTTTATTAAACCAATCAGAGTGACACATCTTCACAGTGTATAAAAAGATGATCCCACAGCAGCTCAGCGAGCCTGAGTTTGCAGCCGTCTTTCTGCAGCCTCCTGAGTAGCTGGGAGCTGGGTTCACAGGCACGAGCTGCAGGGACCACCTCCGCAGCCCTCTGTGAATGAACGAACGAACGAACGAACCAGAGAGCCGGAGTCTTTCCAACACTGTCCCCAGCCTGCCACAGCAAGCAGCCGCTTCCAGTGTGAATAGATCACTGTGACTGGGTTTCGGGGCTTTCGAAATTCTTTGGTGGAGTCTTGTCAAGAGCTGGTAGAATCAGCAGCGGACAGCTGTGGGAATAGAGCCTAGAAGGCACCTAGGGGTGGCATCAAGCTTTTGGATGACCACCTACCACAGTTCAGAAAGGGAGGGCATCCCTTACCTTGCTCACAGTCTCTGTCACACACGGGGTCCCCCAGGGAGCTGAGTCTAATGGCGTTCCATGTGCAGGATTCTTAGTAGTGAGAGTCCACAGCTCCACATTTGAGGGAGAGGAGAAGCCAGCAGCAGGCAGAAGGGGAAGTTACCCCATGATGCAGTCTTTAGGCAAGTCCACTAGGGCAAGTCACAAAGACAGCTGATGTTTGAAACTGGTCCAAGGCGGCGCTAGTTGGTACAGTCCTCACACCTCCTTTTCTGTTCATCACTGGATGTAGGAGCCCTTGGGAGAAAACGGGACCGTGGCCAGAGTGCCTAAGGTACCTCTAAGGACTCGAGAGCCAGGGTCAGGTGTAGACAGGAGACCCTTCTAAAGCAGTCACACCTGACGGGAAGCTCATGGGGCTTGCCTTTTGCCTTTGATCCTTAGTGTGGTTTGCCACCAAGAGTGTCCCTCCCTCAGCCATTTGCCAAGTTCATGGCCTGCCCTCTTGCATGGCAAACTCTCCAAAGAGGTCGGGAAGGTGGTCCGTTCTGTGGGATGTGCTCTGAGCCAGTGGTGCTGGTCTAAATGCCCAGGGCAGCGATGGAGGTGAGGGTTTGCGGAGGTGGTGAGAGCCAGGGTCAGCTTGGAGACTGGATGATTGGACGCAGGAAGGCCGTCACCTCTGCTTCTCCCTCTGTCTTTCTTAGGCGAGTTGATCTTTTTTTTTTTTTTCCAGAGCTGAGGACCGAACCCAGGGCCTATGTGCTTGCTAGGCAAGTGCTCTACCACTGAGCTAAATCCCCAACGCCCCACCCCCTTTTTTTGGCGAGTTGATCTTTTAAAAACCATATATTACCTGTCTCACTCTGCTTCTATTGCTGTGATAAAACACTGGCTCCAAACAGCTCGGGAAGGAAAGGATTTACTTATGTGTCCCAATCACAGTCCACCTATGAAAGGAAGTCAGGACAGGAGCCGGGAGGCAGGCACTGAGGCGGAGGCCATTCCGGAGAGCTGCTTACTGGCTTGCTTCCCCTGTCCTGCCCAGCCTGCTTTTTAACCTTCCAGAACCATCTGCTTAGGGGTGGCACAGCCCTCAGTGGACTGTGCCCTCCCACATCAATCATTAATGGAGAAAATGCCCTATAGACTTCCCCACAGGCCAGTCTGACGGGGCGTTTGTCAGCTGATCTTCCTTCCCTCTTCTCGAGTTGACGGAAAGTAAACATCACATTACATTTGTGCATTGTGTGGCGGGGAGGCATGCCACAGCCCACCTACGTGGAGGTCAGAGGACAACTTGTGAAAGGTTGCTCTCTCCTTGTACCTCGTGGGGCCGGGGATTGAAGGCGGGGTGATTCAGTTTGGTGACGGTAAGTGCCATTACCCACTGAGTCATCTCACTGGCCAGAGTTAATATAAGAGTAATTCAGTCTTCTCAGGGCCCCAGCAAAATCAGATGGGACCATATCTTTCTTGGCCATGTGGGCATGGAGGCCGGTTTCTCAGATAAAGTTCTAAATAGAGCCTTGACGGAGGGAGGGCATGGGGAAACACACATGAAACAAGAGCTGAGAGCAAACGATTCTGAAACTAAGACTATGGCTTTATGTCCTCAAACTTCTGAGTCAGAAAATTCTAATAATAACAGTTAATAAGAACATAATCCTTAACTATAAGAAACAGGGAAAGTTGTCTAGAAGACGAACTGTGGGCCACAGTTGACTTAACAAACAAAAACACGGATTTATGACGACGTTAGTTGAGAAAGGACGGAACAATAGGAAGAGCACTGAGGCTTGGCAAGGGGGAGAAGGCAGGGACTGGGACCATGAAAAAACAGCTTTGCCTTTGATTAGCTCTTAATGAGTTTTTGTCTGAAGTGACCGACCACGCTTTCAGCGCCATCGTGTGGCTAAACAGAAAACTGCAGTCTGCTTGGATGGGTCCTCTCCACTTCGCATCTTTCTGTTTGCCCACCCTTAGTCCCCAAAGTGGGAGCCAGCTGATTGAAGTAGCCCCGCTGTTCACCACTGTGGATGCCGTGACAGTTCTTTTACACTAGATAATGACAGTCTTTTAGAGTTGGCCGTTTCTTCCATTTGTCAAGACATAGACCTCCAAGCATGAACCGTTCTGGAAATGATGTGAGGGTGCAGTAGGTGATGTGCACCATAGACACACATGTGGGTTCATGGGACAACAGCAGAGGCTTTGTGAGGAAAGAGGTTATGAAATTTGGGGGTTTTAAAGTAAAATAATAGAAGACCCCAGGGACAGATTTAAGCATGTTGAAAGAGTGCAAGAAATTCTGAACTTAAAAGACTAGAAAAGTTCTGGGGCTGGTGAGATTGCTCAGTTAATAAAGGTACTTGCCACACAAGTCTAGAGACCTGAGTTGGAGCCCCAGAAAACACATGAAGGCAGTCAGGAGAGCACCAACTCCACATGTATGTTCTGACCCTTGTACAACACATATCACACACACAACACAATAGTAATAAGTAAAATATAATAACAGTTTTTAAAAAGAATCTCCAAGTCCTCTGAACCTCACACCACAGCATGATGACTTATCAACTCACTTCCCCATACAGCTCTAAGATACTTTCTGTCTTATCATTTTGCCTGCAGAATAGTTGGTTGATATTGAATCGATAGTTCTCTGAAAAATAAGAAGTTAACTTGGGATGGGGGCACACAGCAACAACTCCCACGCCTTCTTAAATTGCCCCTGCACTGTACGGAGCCACATAGTTATGTGACTAAGCTACCTTGTGCGATAAAAATTGAGTCACTGATAAACACGTTTCTTTGGGGAGTTTGACATGTCAGGAGCGATTTTGCCTGTTATTTATTTCCACCAGGACAGCATCAGGTACTCCAAGACATGGTAACACACAGAACACACAGACCTGTTCAATGTTTCACCCTACAAACCAGAAATTCTGACTGATTCTGTGTCTCCTGAATTCTATCAGAAAAGAAAAAGACGGACTGATGAGATGGTCCAGCACCTGCCACCAAACCTGATGACCTGAGTTCCATCCCCAAACTCAGGTGACCGAGAGAGAGAACAAACTCCCTCAAGTTGTCCTCTGACCCCCACACATGTGCCCCCCAAAATAAATAAATATGAGGAATGTTTTTGAAAGAAATATATGGTACATTCATAATTATCTATGCTATGTCACTGAATAGATTTACTTTCTTTATTTTGAGACAGGCAAGGCATTATGTAGCCCAGGCTGGCCTTGAACTTCTGATCCTCTTATCTCCTCCATTTCCCAAGTGCTAGTATTATGGGCACGGGCAATCTCACATAGTTTTTAGCAGAGCGGAGGGTGGAAAACACGCTAGGCAAGCACTCCTCACTGAGCTAAAGCCCCAATCCCAGCTGTATTTCCAACAGAAGAGAATTCCTGTTTAGTAGAGGCACGGATGAGAATGGATTCACGTTTGCAAATTTTCACATCTGGTGAGTAGACAAGTGAAAACTGTGAATTTCAGGCCGGATTCTCCCCTACTACCCATAAACTTCCAATTCTGGGCACTGTGGGGCAAGTTTACATTGAAAAATACCTCCAAGCGGTGTCCTCATGGCCTATTACTTAGAGAATTGACCCAAAGGGGCTGTGAGGATTTCCCAAGAGCTGTTCCCAGCTGAGATAGCTAGGGATGTCGTAAAAGGACACACAAAGTATCCCACTAAATCCAAATTAAATCCAGCCTCAACTCAGCTTCTCCTTTGTTGAATGTCAAAAATTCCTGTAGTGAAGTGTCACACACACACACACACACACACACACACACACACACACACACACACACACCGGGGTGGCGGAAGAGAAACAGCAAAGAAAAAAAGGAATATCTGTGAGAAATAAATGTCTGTTTCATCTTTTTAAAAAATTAAAAAAAAATTGTGAGTGTTTACCTAAATGTGTATGGGTACCATGTGTGTGCAGTGTCCAAAGAGGCCAGAAGGGGGCATCGTATACCCTGGAACTGGAGTTAGGGACAGTTGTGAGCTTCTGGGAAGTCCAAGTTGAAGTCAGGTTCTGTCTCTGGTTTCGAGATGGTACCTGGTTGCTGTGTCCTCCGGAGAAGAGGCATGTTGTGTCCTTGTATGGAAGAAGGCAGTAAGGAAGGGATGAGCCCTGTGCCCCCATGGGATAGATGAACAAGAGAAAGAGCCCACTCTCATAAGCCTTTTTAAGAATGGCATTACTCCCTGGGTGAAGACTGAGCCCCTCCTCAAAGGGTGCCACCTCCCGGTACTTTGGCATTGAGCTTGAAGTTTCCAAACACAGATCGTAGCATGCAGCATTCGACAATGATTAGCTCTTTATTACTGCTTCTGTGGTTTCTTGTGACCCAGTGTGTGTGTGTGTGTGTGTGTGTACGCACACGCATGTATACCCCTGCATGTGGTGGTCAGAGACCAACCTTGGGTGTCACTCCTCTGAAGCTTTCCATTTTTAACTTTCAAGACAGGGTTTCTCACTGGCAGGAAATTCACCACATAGGGTAGACCAGCCATCTGGCAAGCCCTGCCTGTCTCTCCCTCCCAGGACTGGGATTACAGTGTATGCCACCACAAAGGGCTTTGAAACAGCAGCAACAACAAGAACAAAAACCTTGGGCCTGGGGATCCAGTTCAGGCCCTCCTGCTTTCATTACAAGCTCTCTCTTTATTTTATCTTCTTTTCTTTTCTTTTTAGACAGGGTCTCTCTGCAGAGCCCTGGCTGTCCGGAACTTGCTCTGTAGCCCAGGCTGGCCTTGAACTCACAGACACCCACCTGCCTCTGCCTCCGGAGTGCTGGGAATTAAGGCGTGCCCCTGGCATCTCTTTTGACCCTTCTTATAGGCCCTTTCTTTTTCCATCTTATACAGAAGCTACGCTCACACCATCTTCAGAAGCCATGCTCTTCTGTAAGATCCCTGAAGGGAGGAGGTTACTTGTTCATCTGTCTGTCCATCTCGCCATGGCCACTGTCTCCATCTTCTTCTGGGTACCCACACTTTCCTAAAGAGTGGGTAAGACTGGGGTGCTAGGGGAAACATGTTTTAGTTTTTGTTTTTGTGAGCCACCATGTGGTGCCAAAACTGAGCAAGGGTTCTCCGCAAGAGCAGTGAGTGCCCTTGACCGCTGAACCAACTGTCCAGGTCCAAATGTCTTTCTTTATGCGTGACTCAGCCTGTGGGTTCTGGTCCAGCAGCACAAAATGGCCTGAGACTCTTTGTCTAAGCACCTGATAACCACACTGCCCCTGAAACCCAACAGCAGACCTACAGAGAAGATGCTGTTATCTTTGGTTTGTTCTTGAGACAGAATTTCATATGGTCCATGACCTTGACCTTGACCTTCTGATCCTACCTTCACCTCCTAGAAGCTGGGATTATAGGTATGTACCACCACACCTGGTTTATGTGATGCTAGAGATTGAACAGTGGGTATTGCTATTACCAGCCCATTTTACAGGTGCAGAGACTGAGACCAGAGGTGAGTTACACAAGGCAGACCTCAGAGTGGGAATACTGTTGGGGGGAGATATATTTGCTGCTTTCTGTTGCTGCGATAAAGTATCCCAACCAAAGCAACTTAAGAAGGTGTTTATCTTGTCTCACAGTTCAAGGATATAGTTCACCATGGTGGGGAAGTCCTGTGGCCTCATTGCATCCGCAGTCAGGAAGCAAAGAGCAATGGATGCTAGTGCTCAGCTCACTTTCTGTTTTGTCTTCCATGCAGTCCAGGACCCAAGCCTAGGGGATGACACCTCCTACTCTTAGGGGAGGCCTTCCCACCTCAATGTACCCACTCAAGAAAATCTCTCATAAGCATGGCC